ACACACACACACACACACACACACACACACACACACCCCACATCTTGTTGATTTTCTTCTCAGTGTAAAGGCCAGCTTAGAACAAGTGGACAGAAGTCTGTTATATCTGGAGGTAGAGCTGAAAATCCTTAGCATTCCTAAATTACTTCTGTAAGAGAGGAAAGGGATGTAACTCATGAACCTTGTCCACAAAGAATTGTGATTTCATATTTGGAAAGTATCAGAATTGTAAGCACAAGCTATTTATCTAAAGCTTGACTTTGAAATTCAAGAAAGGTGAACTGTTTATTGGATTTTCATCTTATTGGAAAATAAGTTCTGAGCAGCTTAAATTGCCATGATACATCAAATGCATTGTGATTACAAAATATAAATGGTTCTTTTGCATCTGCACAATTTATAGCATAACCTGTGAAAATATTTCTTTATGCTACAGGGCGGCATCTGTGGTTGTGAGAAGGGTTATACAGAGATCATGAGGGCAAATGGGTTTCTGGATTACTGCATGAAAATACCTGGCCTAGAGGATAAGAAAGCTGACGTTAAAAATCTTGCTGGAAAGAACAGACCTGTGAACTCAAAAATCCATGATATTTTCAAAGGATGGTCTCTTCAACCCCTTGATCCAGGTAAGTTCCAATAATAAGTAAGACAAATCAGATAAGGAGGGTTTCAGATTTTAACCACTGCTAATGATGAACATGGAGAAACGATGAAAGTTTTATACAAGTGTTCAGGTCATTCATTCATAGGGAGCTATGAATCATCTACTACTCGACGGCACTTAACCACATAGAGAGAGCTCTCTGGATAGAAAGTTATGCTACCAAGCCCAGAGTGGGTGATTTTAATCTTTGGCCCTCAGGCCTGGCTTTAATTGTTTTTGGCCAAACATTCTTCTAAGCAGTATAGTACTGATCTATCAATTTGCTGTACAGAGGCAACTCGTGGTTGCTGTGATGCTAAACACTGTCCCACTGATGTGCCAAACGTGATAATGGTTACTCATGGTGGACAGTGTTTGGTGGAGCTTCGAGATTAAAACAAGCTTGAAAGCAGGAGTGGCATCCACTTCAGAAATAACTTGTCTCCAGAAACTCTATGAACTTGGAGAAACAATGAAAGTTATTATACAAGTGTTCAGATCTTTCATTCATAGGATCACTATGAGCCGTCTATGACTCAATGGCACTTAACAACAACAACAACGATGAATGGTGGAGAAGGAAAGAAAGAGGAAGAGAGAAAAAAGATCCAGTTTAAGATTTCCAAAATTTTGTCTTGGATTTTTTTATATATAATGTGTCTATATTATTTCAATTCATACACATTTTTATTTAGAACTTTATGAACCCAGGAATTGATGGCATACCAGTTGACATATTTCAACAAACAGGTGCTGCTCTGGATGTACTCACTAAGTTGTGCCAAGAAATCTGGAGGCCAACCACCTGACAAACTGATTGGAAGAGATCTGTATTTGTTCCCATCACAAAGAAAGGTGGCCTGACAGAATGAGGAAATTATTGAACAATATTATTAGTATCACATGCAAACAAGATCCTGCTGAAGATTATCCAAAAATGACTGAAACAGCACATCATCAGAGAACTGCCAGAAGTGCAGGCTGCATTTAGAAGATGCCATGGTACTAGGAATATTATAGCTGCTGTTAGTTGGATCTCAGCTGAAAACAGAGAATACCAGAGGAATGTCTAGCTGTGTTTCATTGACTATGCAAAAGCATTTGACTGTGGATCACAACAAACTGTGGCTGACTCTGAGAAGAATGGGGATTCCAGAATATTTAATTGTGCTTATGCGAAACATATACTTGGACCAGGCCCCCCTCCCTTCTCTGTCTTCTCTGAACTAGAAGGAGCTTTCCTGCCATATAGCCCCTCCTCCCCTGAAAATGTATACCTGCACCAAGTTTGCCTCCACCCCTTCCCTGCTCAGGAGTGTCTCTCAGCTACTGAGCCATCCATTGTCTACAGTGGTCCTAAAACAACCAGAGACACTGAGAGATGAGAATTTCAGCTGCTTGACAGTCCCACGTTCCTTGATTGCATTTATCCTTAGTTGCAACTTCCAAACCAGCACTATCTCAAGGGATATTGATACAGCAGCCACGTTCATTGGGGCTGGGGCTGCCACGGTTAGAGTGGCTGGCTCTGGAGCTGGGATTGGGACTGTGTTTGGGAACCTCATCATTGGTTATGCCAGGAGTCCTTCTCTGAAGCCATTCTGGGCTTTGCTGTCTCAGAGGCCATGGGGCTCTTTTGTCTGATGGTGGTCTTTCTGAACCTCTTCGCCATATAAAGGAGCCATCTCCACCTCCCATAGTTTGTTGGTTTTCTCCCCCCGTCTTGTCTATCCTATGTGTTTCTGGGGAAAGTGATTGGCTCACGGTTTGACTGAGGAAAGATAAATAAATACTGTTAATACGGTAAAAAAAAGAAAAAAGAAAAGAAAAAGAAGCATATATTTGGACCAAGTGGCAGTCATCAGAACAGAACAAGGAAAAATTGCATGGTTCAAAATAGGGAAGGGTGTACGCCAGGGATGTGTCCGATCTCCACACCTTTTCAATCTATATGCAGAACAGGTCATCTGGGAGGCTGGACTCTATGAGGAAGGGAGTGACATCAGAACTGGAGGAAGACTCATCAACAACTTGCATTATGCAGATGACAAAACTTTGCTTGCTAAAACTGAGGAGACCTGAAGCACTTGCTGCAGAAATTCAAGGACTGCAGCCTTCAATATGGATTGAAGTTCAACATCAAGAAAACAAAGATTCTTATCACTTGGCCAGTTGGCATCATTATGGTAGATGGGGAAGAGATTTAGATTGTTAACAGCTTTAGTTTGCTTAGCTCCACAGTCAACACTCTTGGTACCAGCAGCCAGGAAATTAACAGATGAATTGCTATGGGAAAATCTGTAGTCAAGGAGTTCTCCAGAGTACTGAAAAGCAATGATGTCAGTCTGGAGACTAAGATGGGCCTGACCCAGGCCATAATCTTCCCAATACTTGTTATGCGTCAGAGAGCTGGACAATGACTAGGGATAAGAGAAAGAGAATTGATGCCTTTGAGCTGTGGTGCTGGAGAAGAGTATTGATTATACTACGGACTGCCAGGAGAACAAACAGGTTCGTCCTAGAAGAGGGTGAAGCCAGCTTGCTCCCTGGAGGCAAGGATTCTGAGGCTTTGACATACTTTGAGCATGATGCAAGGAGGGACGAGTCCTTGGAGAGGGACATCAAGCTTGGAAGGGAGGAGGGACATGGCAAGAGAGGAAGACCCTCTATGAGATGGATTGATAAAATGACTGCGATAATGAAGGTAGGTGTGTCAGAGACAATAAGGTTGGCCCAGGATAGAGCAGGGTTTAGCACTGTTATACATAGGCTCAGACTTAATGGCACATAACAAAATTTTATTATATACACTATTACTTTTAAATTTTATGTTAATTACTTGTTAAGGAACCACATAAGCAAATGAATGAAGCATCAACCACATGCCAGTACCCTGAGGATTTAAAGACACTGTACCTTTTGAAAGCTGCAACTAGATAAGATTTTATGGATAATGAGATCTAAGATGTGTTCTCACTCACAGAAGACCTTTCTTTTTTTTGCCAATAAAAAAATCCTGGACGAAGAGATTTCATCATTAGTATTTCAAAGAGATCAGATTCAAAGCTTTGCTAAAAGTTTCATGACTGCAAGAAAATATTATTAGTACATTGATGCTTCACTCTAAAACATGACTGAAGGGTAAAATTGTCCCATAAGCAAAAACTGTAATAGGAAGCCATAATATAATTGAAAGTAATTGTGGTTTTACGCAAAACAAGTGCTGCTTACAATATATTTTTATTGTCTTTCATTCCACAGAAGGCTTTAGAATGAGATACTGATATGTGTGTTTTGTCCTGCAGTTAATCACATTGGTACTGTATAATGAACCTTCTGTGTGTTCATTGCTTTCAGGAAGAGAAGCAATTCCCTTAGGATGTGAAGGCATTACCTTTATCCCATTCTAAGTTTAGTTGGCTGTCTGCAAACATAAAGTAAAGCAAAAACATAAGGTTACCAGAGACAACTCAATTTTCTGTCATTTATCAAAACACCAGACATTTAATCAAGTTATATCTTACATAGTAGAAGTCACAAAATAAATGAGAGTATTTGCATACTCTTTGTTGCTTACCTCTGGGAGACATCAAATTCAAAACAATGTGCACAGTGATTTAGTGGATTGATTAGCTTGTTTGGCCACGTGATTTAGGTTCACTTTACATCAGTCAGAAAATATAGCTTCCCAAATTAATTTAGTAGTTAGAGGCCTGTCCATGTAGAGTTGTTTCTTAATCATATTTTTCTTCTTTGTTCTATTTAATAATATCTAAATATATTGAATTTTTTCTGCTACCTTTGAATGACTGTTATTATTATGTATCTTTAAGTCAAAATTCAAATACATAATAAAGCATTCACAGCTAAATAAATATTCCATTATGACGTTACAGTCTGTGGCTCTTTAGTTGGGAACTGTTTGTATCTGCAAAAAGTAAAAAAAAAAAAGTTACCATGTAATATTTAGATATAATTATATAATTTAATATATATAATTTAATATAATGTAATATAATTTAGACATGCCCTAGTGGCACAGTGGCTAATTACTGAGCTGCTAATTTAAAGGCTAATGGTTTCAAATCCAGCAGAGAACCCACAGGAGACAAATGGAGCAGTTTGCATCTGCTGAGATTTATGGCCTCACAAAGATTATGAGAAGTTTGCTCTTTCCTACAGAGTCACTGTGCATAGAAAATTGACTTGAAGATGGCTTATCGTTTACAGCATTGTTTCATTCACAAGATATAATTTTTACTTCTTGTTGTTGTTGTTGTTAAGTGTCGTAAAGTCATAGACGACTCTTAGCAACCCTATTAATGAAAGACCCGAACACTTCTATAACTTTGGTCATTTCTCTATGTTCATAGAGTTTCTGGAGGCATGCCATTTTGGAAGTGGATGCCACTCCTGCTTCCAACCTTGTTTTAATTGGGGCATTCCACCAAACACTGTCCACCATGGGTAACCATTATCACATTTGGCACATCAGTGTCAAAGTGTTGTTTAGCATCACAACATCCACGAGTTACCCCTGTAAAGCAATGCAGTGCTAGACCACTTAGAAGAATGTTTGACCAAAAACAATTAAACCAAGCTTGAGGGCCGCAGATTAAAATCACCTGCCTTGGTCTTGGTAGCATAACTTTCTGTCTACTATGAAACTATATTTCAAGGATTTCCCAGGAAAAAAAAAAAAAACCTTACCAATTCCTGATTCCATCTCTCAGTTTACAGAGTCTGCCTGAGTATATCAGCTTTTGCAGTGTGTTTACAGCTGGCTATGAAGGTCCCCACTCATTTCAAGTGCAGAACTAGTGGCCAGCGTGGAGTTGTCTGGCATTATGTTGCCCTCAGATGCTTTAGACTTATGAACACTAAACTCGTCCTTTTATCTCTGTTTCATTCAGATGGTCGAGTAAAAATGTGGGTTTATGGCGTTTCAGGTGGCGGTTTTCTTATCATGATTTTCCTAGTATTTACTTCCTACCTTGTTTGGTAAGTACCAATTAATAAGTTTATATTCCATATTCTTAAGGATTTTATATGTACTACAAAAAAAAGTGTTTTGTTAAGGACACTGACTATTATAACATGGCTTTTAAGGTAAAAAAATAATCTCCAAATAGTTTAATTGGGCATTCAGTGTTTCCAAACTGCTGAAATAAAAGATCATTACCTTAACTGTGCTCATTTAAAATAACAACATTCTAATTTGTTTTAATTGAGTTTTAAGAAATTTTCAAAAAAAATTTTTAAGAATCGATGTCTTTGAGCTGTGATATCGGAGAAGAGTACTTAGTATCTGTATCTCATGGACTCTCCAAGGAACAAATAGATAGGGATTGTAGAACAGCCATGTCTTAAATAGAGGTATGTCTTGAGGAGTAATCAGGATGCTCTTTGGAGGTTAGGTTTGCAAAGCTTCAGCTCACATTACTTTGGGCATGTTGTCAGGGGACCTCATGCTTGGAAAAGTGGGAGGTAGGAGAAAGAGAAGATGACCTTTAACAAGGTGAAATGACTGCAGCAGTGAGCTAAAGTATGTCAGAAATGATGAGGATGACACACGATGGGACAGGGTTCACATCTGTTGTGATAGGGTCTCTATGAGTCATAATAGTCTCAAGGGGATCTAACAAAAGCAAGAGTGTGTGGGTTTTTTTAAATTTTCATAAGCTTTAGTATTTTGAGTTAAAAGAACTTTCAGATAAGTGGTTTTCAGCTTAGAATGTATAGTGGCATCTCTTGGAAATCTTTATCTGAGTTTGAATCCCACCCTTAGAAAAATTTATTTCATTAGTAATGGGCAGAGTCAGATCATCAGGATGCTTAAAACTCCCAGGCTAATACTGATAGGCAGTTAAGGTTGCATTAGTTAATTCTAGTTGGCAAATGGTTGTTTCAACCAGTTAGACAAATTCGCTAATTACTTCAAACATCTTGTTGGTGAGTTTTAAATAGTAGAGCCACATGTTTATTAATGTTGAATAGCTATAAACGAAAATTTAACTGTGAAACCCCAAAGCTCTTCTCTTTAAATGACTAGTTCCTATAAATGTATTATTCCTGGGGAAAAAAAATGATAGTTCCTTGTACAGACTATATTTTAGTTGATGTTGTTGTTGTCGTTGTTGTTGTTGTTGTTATGTGCTGTCGAGTCGCCTGCGACTCATAGCGACCCTATGTACAACAGCCCTAAATTCCGCTCTGTCCTGTGCCAATCGCACTGTCTCTGACACTCCCATCCCAATTATCCCAGTCACTGAATCAATCCACCTCATAGAGGGCCTTCCCTTCC